TCTGCTGCTCCTGAATTCTCTCTCCCTTCACTCCAGAAATATAAGAATCTTTTGGGAAGTTCTTTTAATTTTGCACTTAGGTCTGAAGATGATGCACACAAAAGATTTTCTTCCACAAAAGCCACCTCAGGTTTTTACTAGCAATTTACGTATTGCTTTAATATTTTATTAAATTGCAGTTTATCAAGTTTAGAACAAACTGACGAATAGTTATCCCCATTCAACTCCAAATCACCATCCTAAAACACTGGGAAATGCATAGAATGTAAGGATTTTACCATAACGACACAATCTAGGTATACCATCCCATTGAGCAGAAAGAGGAAGAGAGATGCAAATAAAACAGGTATGTAATAACACTGATTCACAGAGTTGCTAATGTCAGAAAGAAATCCAGTGATTTGGCTGTCCTCTATCTAATTAAATGTTATCACAGACTTGCATTTCTGATCAAAATAAGTAAAAACAAGCATTAGTTGAACACAAAAGTACCATTAAAAGAAGAGACTAGGATTTTCTATTAACAAAAATGGTCAACTATTAAGAGACCATCCTCGTTAACAAAAGGAAGTGAAAAATTAGCATCCTTCAGAAGTGTGGCAATTATTTCTAAAGAAATGTGCTGGCAGTTATGGCTGGATTACCCACAACCACAAGCATTACATAACTAGTACTCTCCACATACGTTTCCTTACCACAGACACACAACCAAAGTTATTCAAGCTCTCCAATAACAAGTTTGTTTGCACTTTACAAGAACTGATGCTCAGATATTTGCACTTTTGCTACTGTGCAATCTTTGACAAATAGCAGCTAGAAAGGTTGCTATAAAATGTATTAATAACTTACCTTTGCTTTTCTAGATCGGCTTTTATTTCATCTAGGAAAAAAAGAAAAGGCAGAACAATGAAGATACCACAACACTCAATGGAAATGGTGATTACACCTGAATTTACATGTTAGTGGTTCTGAAGTAAACTAATCTCAAACAAGGAGTTATATATGTGTCTGCTATGTATTTTGTTGTATATTAAACAAAGCTTCCAAACAAATAAAGCCACCTGGGAGTACATTAACAGTTAGCAGAACTTCTATATATTTTTATTTTAAAAGTGTGTTTGCGTCCGTTTGTTCAAGAACTCTTCCTAAATGGTAAGAGCCAAGGCCACCAAATTTAGTATGCAGCTTCCTCTTATCCCAACTTAAAGCAAGGTCAGGGTTTGATTGTGCCAGAAAACAGAAATTCCCCAGAATGGGACTGCTGTCAATAACATGGAAAGTGGGGATGAAGAGAGAAGGGACACGATATTCACAATGGCCACGGGGGGGCAGTGAACTGAGGGAGAATTCGACTGTAGGGTGACCACTGGGCGCAGCCACACCAATAAGAGAGTAGCCAACTGGGGCTCGGGCTTCCCATCTTGCCTGCCACTGGACTAGGTAAGTAGCACCCTTACCCTAAGCCCTTCCTCCCAGCCCTTGGCTGCAGCACCAGAGTGAGGGACAGAGAGAAGGCCCCACCTGATCAGGGGCAGAGAACACTATAAAATATTCACTACTAGAGGATTCATTCTGCATTGCTTAGGTTCTTAACACAAATATTTCTTTCCATTTAAAAAATTGCTCTAGAGTGGGGCTAGGGCTTGGGGAGCGAGGGGGGTTCAATATGCAGACTGCCCTCGGGAAAGAGGACAACCCCAGCCTTCTCTCCTGGTAACAGCTTGGAGCCAGATGAGAAGCGCCTGTTCATGAATACGACAGCAGACCCAGCTGGGGGACAGCTGCATATCCCTCAGCTGGGGGACAGACACAGATAAACACACTTTCTGAAATATATAGTGGTCCCTTTTTCCCCACCACTGCTACCTGATACCCCAATGAAGTTACAACTGTCCTGGTCCCCAACTCCAGCCCCTTGGCTCCCCACTCTCCCCCATGGTCATTCTACAGTATAACTCTCTCCTACCAGAGCAGTACCTTACCATTTTATGAGAAACAAACAATCACATTCCAGATACATCCCATTGTTCTGGAACAACCAAATTCTTACCTTGCTTTTAGCTATGATAAATTTGGTGGTCCTAACTCTTACCATTTAGGAGGAGTTCTCAAACAAACACGCACAAATAGGCAGGCACATATTTCTAAAATATAGTAAAATGATGATTGCTGATCAGATCTTAAATATTAAAAAGAAAGAGTGGGTTATAAGCAGATGGTGGCTTCTTCTAATGCAGTAAAAAGCCAGAAAAACTTAAACAATACTCTGCTGATTCAACTAACTTTATTCACACGAATAGTCCTATTGGTTTCAATGAGACTACTATACTCATATTAGTAAACTAAAAGATATGACAGAGATGGGACAGAGACTGAGCAGTATTACGTAGTCTAACGGATGAAACTATGGCAGTGGCCCAAGATATGGGGGAGAGAGAGAGACAAATTTTATGTCATCAATGACATTTCCAAAATTCACTAATGCCCATTTTGTCACAACAGAACTTTGCATCTATGTTTTTCTTTCAGCTGTTTAAAGTTCATCATTTTCTTTTGTTACAATTACAGGGTTACTCATTCTCTGAACCAGTCATGCTTGTATATAAACCGCTCCCCATCACTCTTGCACAACAAGGCTTATCGCCTACTACTTAGACTAGCCATTTCTTGGCTCATATGCAGAAGATAATGCAATGTTGGCTATGTGGGGAATTTAACCAGCATAGCTATTCCTGAATAACTCCCCTGTGTAACTCTTATTTTCAGAAGAAGACTGCCTCTTTCCACTTTTGTCTACAAAGGCATTCTTATTGTCAAGTAGACATCTACATAGGCAGTTATTTCACAATAGCTATAGTACTTTAAAGTCACACCATATCTTACTCTAGGAACAACTTCCCCATGTAAATAAGCCTTCGGGTTCCAATACAGTTCAAGTCAGTTGTTTCTCAGTTTCCTACCCCCACTACAATGGTTTATCTTGCACATAATCAATTTTGTGTAAATGGATCAGAGCTTCTTCCTTCCAATGCTGAAGCAGATACCAAACTGATATTTGATTACTGAGGAAAAATGCTGTTTCCAACTGAATAGTATTGGCCTTAGAGGAAGTACCTATGTCAGATAGTAAGGAAAACTGCCTTACTTCTCAGTCTTCAATGCTTACATTACACTGGTTATGAATCAGCTGTTTTCCTATCACAAGTCTGATGTAAGTTTAATAGCCATGTAATTTTAGTATTAAAATCCTGCATAACAATAGTAATTGAATATACAAGTCTATATATTTGAGCAATTTCTGAACTGATGATTTGAGATCTATCATCACCAGTCATTGCAAAGCATTCTGTTTCAAGGATAATGCAGAAGAGTAAGCAAAAGCTTTAAACTCAAGCTGAATTTACTTTAAGATACTCCCTTTAGCTCAATAACAAGTTCAGTACCTGATCAGGAAGTGGCCATTCTAGGATCAAAAGAAAGATTAACTAAATTCCAGTTGCAGCTACATGACTCACTGTAGAAACTTGAACCATTCATTAACTGCTCTACCACAGTTACACCATCTTGTAAAATAGTAATAGTACACCACAAACATATCATGTGGCTTCATTAGTTATCTGTAAAGCACTATTGGGCAAAAAGTTAAATTTTGGACACCCTGCAGCCTAATAATACCCACTTATGTAAAATTCAGTGGAATACAGGCTATACTAACTTCAAAACACAAGCATGAAAGTTTAAAGACTATTCTGGGACTCTCATACCACACTCAAGGGATTTACCTAATGTCAAGGTGAGAGCATAGGGTGCAGTATTAATTTCTTCTGTTGGCAAACTCACAAGGTGCTACTGGCAATAGCCCAAGACAAATCTACTTCTCTCAGTTTCTCAGAGAGAAACTGTGCCACAGTACATTGGGAGAGTAGAGCAGAAGAGAGGTAGTCCAGAATGAAAGCCTCTAAAAAGAAGAGCAGTTATACTGGGTCAGACCAAAGGTCCATCTACCAAAGTCTCCTGTCTTCCAACAGCGGCCAATGAGCTGAACAGATAACCAACCATCAATTCATTCATTCCTTTCACTCAATCTGATCTTCTGGTAAACAAAGGCCAAGAACACCATCCCTATCCATTCTGGCTAATAGCCATAGATGGAGCTATCCTCCAATTTATCTAAATCTAAATCTTGGCTTTCACATCCTCTGGCAAAGAGTTGACTGCATGTGTGAAGAAATACTTCTTTTTGTTTGTTTTAAATCTATTGTCTACTAATATCATTTGGTAACCCCCAGTTCTTGTATTATGAGGAGTAACTAGCACTTATCTATTTCTTTACACCCATCATGATTTTATAGACCTTTCTCCATTCTGAAAACGGACAATTTATTCCTACCCTTTTTTCCCTATCTTTTAACCTGTTAGCAATCCATGAAAGGGCCTTGCCTTACCCAATGACAGCTTATTTTCTTTCGTGCCAGATCTTGTCAAAACAAAGGACAGGACTATGCAGCACTTTAAAGACTAACAAGATGGTTTATTAGGTGATGAGCTTTTGTGGGCCAGACCCACTTCCTCAGATCAATTTGTGGAAGAAAATTGGCACAACCATATATACCAAAGTGATATAATAAAAAAAAAAAGTGAACACATATAAAATTGACAAATCAGATTTTAGAATGGGGGGGGGGGCTGAGGAGGGAAGGTTAGTGTCTGTGAGGTAATGATATAACCTTTCCCCTTCGCCCCCCTCCGCCCTGTTCTAAAATCTGATTTGTCAATTTTATATGTGTTCACTTTTTTTTTTTATTATATCACTTTGGTATATATGGTTGTGCCAATTTTCTTTCACAAATTGATCTGAGGAAGTAGGTCTGGCCCATGAAAGCTCATCACCTAATAAACCATCTTGTTAGTCTTTAAAGTGCTGCATAGTCCTGTCCTTTGTTTTGACAAGATCTGGCACGAAAGAAAATAAGCTGTCATTGGGTAAGGCAAGGCCCTTTCATGGATTGCTAATAGTCCACATGCTTGTTAATTCCCCTCAAAGAATTATTTTCAACCTTTAAATGAGTTTAAACAGCAAAATTATAACCAAACTTCCTGAGCATTGTGTAATCAGGGATAAAAGAATGCAGAGAGCAGCTCTTTTGACATAACTGAATAGTTTACAAAAAAAACCAAAACGGATTTTTAACTACTAGCCCTGCAAATGCAGGCTAGAACCCAAGAACTAAACAGTATGTTTTATGGGACATGCATCATCACTAGCAATAGTGAAATTCCAGTTCCAGAATCAATCAGTTCTGCTACATACAAACCAGCTAGAATAGTTTTTCCCCTCTCCTCTTAAGCTCTTCTGAATCTGCACTATTATCAGAAATAAAATTATTTTTGGTCACAAAAGCAAGATTATATGAACGCAAATTCATAAAGCAGCAGTTCTCAACCAGGAGTCTAAGGCGGAGGGGGAGGGGAGAGGGAGGAGGAAAGAGATGAGCCGGTTTCAAAGGATCAGCAAAGCAAGGCAGGCATTAGACTCACTGAGCCCAGGGCAGCAAGCAGAATCCCCACCGCACAGTGCTGAAACCTGGGACTCCAAGCCCCAGCACCCGGGACTGAGCAAAGGCCATGGCAACTTTGATTCACAAAGTTCCCTGTGGCACAGGGCTTGCTACCCCATAATGCAATCACCCTGCTTGCTACCCCATAATGCCAACCCTGGCTCTTATAGGCACAGGCAGGCTGTGGAATTTTTATAGCATTTGGGGGAGGAACTCAGAAAGAAAAAGGTTGAGAATCCTGACATAGGCTGAAGATCTGTTGAAGAGGAGGCTATTCTTTTTTAACATAATCCCATTCTTCATGCTTTAAAAATCTTTTAAA